GAATGTCCTTTTTTTTCCCCCTGAGGAAGATTTGCCCTAAGCTAATAACTGTTGCCAATCTTCCTCTTTTTTTGCTTGAGGAAGATTAGCCCTAAGCTAATATCTGTGGCAGTCTTCCTCTATTTTGTATACGGATCACTGCCACAGCATAGCTGATGAGTGGTGTAGGTCCACACCTGGAATCTGAACCCACGAACCTGTGCTGCTGAAGCAGAGCATGCTGAATTCAACCACTAGGCCAGGGGGCTGGCCCCAGGATGTCCTTCTTTTTATAGCTGAATAATATTCCACTGTGTGTTTGTGTGTATATCTATCTATCTATCTATCTATCTATCACATTTTCTTTATCCTTTCATCCATCGATTGACACTTAGGTTGCTTCCATATCTTGGCTATTATAAATAATGCTGTTATGAACATGGGGGTGCAGATATCTTTTCAAGTTACTCTTTTCATTTCCTTCATATAAATATCCAGAAGGGGAATTGCTGGATCATATAGTAATTCTGTTTTTAAGTTTTTGAGGAACCTCCATACTGTTTTCCATAGTGGCTGCACCAATTTACACCACCAACAGTGCACAAGGGATCCCTTTTCTCCACATCCTTGCCAAGACTTGTTATTTCTTGTCTTTTTGATGATAATGATTCTAAGAGGTGTCAGAATCATCACAATGAGATATCATCACGTAGCAACTACCTGTTCTATACTAGGCCTGTAGTAGGTACAATAGTAAATGAGTTTTTCCTTATGTAGTGCAATCCAGGGCCTCAGGGTACTTCTGGATGTATCATCTTTTGTAGAGAGACAGAAAACTCTGTTTTATTAAAAAAGTTCAGAGTTCCTCTTCTCCTCCACAATAGACTAATTCTCTCACAATGTGGTGGGATTCCATATTTGTAAATCCGAGGAAAGTATGTAAACGTACATTTTTGACATAATTGTATTTCTTTGTAAATAGTTTGTAGCTTCATTCTTGTTCTTTGCAATTGTGTCTGTCTCCCTTTTCCCTTCTCTCCTTTTCCACTTGTCCGAAAATGGTAGTCATGGCCATGATGAGGTATGTAGAATCACTTGTTTGCTATTTAAAATAAACAGCAAACTCTTAAATCATTTAGGTCAGTGAAAACGTTAGTGCAACTACAGAAGATTCATATTGGGCAGGCTATGGGAAACAGGTGGATTTCTCTGTATTCTGCTAAATTCTCAGCTATGGAATATTTTCTCGAGTTCAATGTAGTAAAATCTATCCTCTAAGCTTTCATCATTCTCTGTGAATCACACATCATTCTTCACATCAGATTTTCTCTTATCTGTATACTCTTCAGGGTTTCAAAAGGTTAATGATCTCAGCCTATTTCTAACCAATAAGGATCAGGATCAAGTTTGTCTTTTTTCTCAGAAGTGTTCCCAATGACAGGATACTCTTCATTTTCTCGTTTAGCCAACATGGAGATGTGTTTATTTCTTCATGTACTGTCTGTCACGAATCTTATCTTTACTTGAATCATAGAGTGATAGCTGTATCTGGGGTTTTCATTCTATTGTATTTTGACTGTGTAAAGGTTTTTATAAGATCAGAATGTCTAGGGTTTTTTGTTTGCTTGCTTTGAACTGAACATTATCCTCAGTCGTGCCCCATGAGCTTGCTGGGAGCTTGATCTTTATTGACTCTCCCATCTCAGAAAATAAAGAAAATAGGTAGAACCAAAAACAATAATCGGAAAAAGCTCCTGTGGAGCAAAGCTGTCACTTGGCAGAATGATTCAGCAGTTTTAGGGGAGCATTATTGGTTATGAGTCCTTAGTGAATTGTTTTAAAAATCTTTTTTTCGTCTTTTCACAAGCGTTGTTTAGTTAAGATACAGATACTTTAAATAAAATGATATTGATGATACTTTATGATGGAATGTTTCAAGAAAAGTTATATTTTCATAGAAAGTGTTCATTTAATTTTATAAATAAAATTTATTTCCTCAAATAGAAAAAAACTGTACTCTCACATTATATGCCTGTGAGATAATAGAAAATATATATACTGGTCTTTGCCCCTGGTTCCTGGCAAAGAGCTCCTAAAACCCTGGTAATTTCCTAAGTGATAAGAGCATCTTTTGTTCTAATATTTGGTCTTTCACCCTGGTTCCTGACACACAGTTCCTAAATCCCTTAGAATTTCCTGGGTGATAGCAGTGTCTTTTGTTCTAATAAGATGACTCTTGGTGGGCTCCTGGCTGGGGGCTGGTCACTAGAAAGACCGAGCAATTATTAGAAGCTTCAAATTTTCAGTCCCACCTCCCCATTCTCCAGAGAGAGGAGAGGAGCTGGAAATGGAGTTAATAATTGATCTTGTCTACGTAGTGAAGCCTCCATAAAAATCCCAATAGTATGAAGTTTGCAGAGCTTTCAGGTTGGTGAACACTTGAGGTGCTGGGAGAGTGGCACGCCCAGAGAGGGCATGCAAGCTCCACGCCCTTTCCCACATATCTTGCGCTAATGCATATCTTCCATCTGGATGTTCATCTGTATCCTTTATTGTATCCTTTTATAATAAACTGGTAAACAGTAAGTAAAACTTTTCCTGAGTTGTGTGAGCCTCTATAGTAAATCAGTAGTGATCATTAATAATAATCAATTAATATTCCGTACATTTGCTAACATAATTCCTATAACATTTGGCTTATTTATCTATTTATTTATTTTTAAAGATTGGCAGCTGGGCTAACAACTGTTGCCAATCTTCCTTTTTTTTTCTTCCAAAGATTGGCACCTGGGCTAACAACTGTGGCCAATCTTTTTTATTTTTTTTTTCTGCTTTATCTCCCCAAACCCCCGCTGTATACAGTTGTATATCCTAGTTGCGCGTCCTTCTAGTTGTGGGATGTGGGACGCCGCCTCATCGTGGCCTGACGAGCGGTGCCATGTCCGCGCCCAGGATCTGAACCCTGGGCCGCTGCAGTGGAGCACGCGAACTTAACCACTCGGCCATGGAGCCGCCCCTGGCTTATTTAGTAGTATATTTTTTTCCTTGAAACTTGGCTTGTATATTTTAGAACGAGTGTTTCCAAATTAATTAGTGTCGTGTTCATACTTCTTTTGTTAGTTCTAATCATTTGTTTAAACTGAAATTTCCCTGTTTTAAGATCATTACTCTCTGTTGATAGGAGAGAATGTTTGAATTTCACAAATATATCTGTGTTGTGTATTTGAAAACGTGTTGAATATTAATTAGCCAGAAATTATAACCTCTAGGTGGGCAGAGAACATGTCTCATTCACCGTTGCAACCTTTGATGCCTCACGCAATGATTAATTAGTATTTGTCTGATGAATGAATTAGAGTTTAGTCTCTTGGAATATTTTCCCATCAGTAGTTTTCATCCAGGTAGTTTTTATTCCTTTAAACCACAAATGATTGTCTCTCATAAGATAATTAATAAATATGCACATTCTTTCCTATATGTGGATCTTAGTGTCTAGTCAGAAAATTGAAACCTGTCTGTATTAGTTTAAAAATGAGCCACAGTGGATTTTTTCTCCCCTTTCATCAACACTTTATTATTATTAAAAGTTACATACAGAAAAGTTGAAAAAATTGTTCAGGGAATAGCTGTATATCTACCACCTAGATTCTGTACTTAACATTTTGTTTGTTCTATCAAATATCTGTCCTTCTGTACATCCTCTGTCTATCTGTCCATCTTTTATTTATACATTTCAGAGAAGTTGCAGGTATCAGTACACTTCACCCCCAAAACTTCAGAATTCATCTACAGTGTTTATAAATAGAATGCTTTTGGAGTGTGACTATTTGAAATTATATGGGTTATTTGGAATGGTTAATTGCTGGAAAATTAAGTTCTATCATCTTACTTTATTTTCCATACTGAGATTGGAAGGGCAGATGAGAAAGGGAAAAAACCCAGCTTAGATCTGTATAATTCTTTATAGTTTACAAAGAATTTTCCTGTGCATTATCTAATTTGATCCATTATTACTAATAATAATAGTAGCTAACAGTTCCTGAAGGCTTGCTTTGTGCCAGGTGCTGTGCTAAGTTTACCTTTAATGGAAGTACTATACTAAATTCTGTTTATCCCACTGATAATTGGTTGTCATATTTATTTTTCAAATGGATTGATTTGTTCATTTAAAGAAATATCAGCCCTGTGACATGTCTCTTAAATTCACATTTGTCAGCTACTGCTATATTTAGACTGAAGTCTTCGGTATTTAGGTTCCTGAGGATAAAAATATTTTCTTGGTGTTGTGTCTTTATAGGTTGCTATTCATAATAATATTTAAGCACAACTTAGGAAGAGTTGCTGAAAATGTTCCTGTGTTTTCTGATTATCTCTATATCTCAGTTCCTAATATCTAAAATGTTGCATGACTTTAAAGGCAAAATGGATTCTACAAGAATCCGTATGTAATAGTTATTTCTTCTTGGATTATTAATAAATTATTAATGTTCTATGAATAATAATAGCTACTATCTTTTGCATTTACTATGTGCCAGATACTGTAATTTCTATCTGTTATATATTTAATTCATCTAACAATCCTGTAAGAGTTGAGGAGACTAAGGCGCAGAGCGGTTAAATGGCTTATCCTGGGTCACATGGCTGGTAAATGGAGAGCCAGGATATGAATGTTTCAGCTCCGAAGTCCTTGCATTTGCTCAGAACCCTAGTGTTTTGTGTAGTATATATGATCCTCAGACCACCTGCATCATAATTTCCTGGGGTGATTGTTAGAAATGCAGATTGCTGAGCCTCGCCCTAGACCTGCTGAGACTCTCTATGCATGAAGTATGTTTTCTGGTCATTCAGTCCATTCTTATGGGCACTAAAGTTTGGGAACCACTGTGCTGTGCTGTTCTCTAAGCATTATCACGTTTTAATCCCTGTCAGCCTAGAAAGATAGTCAGAATCAATGAATTGTTCTTTTCCTTGGACTACATGACATTTTGGATCGATCTTTATGCTTTTGTCTTCATTTCAAGATTGTCATGGATTTTAAGCACCCAGATGGTGTCACTGTGCCAGTTATGTTGCCTCGTCGGAGTTTGCTGGTGATGACTGGAGAATCTAGATACCTTTGGACCCATGGGTATGTATTGAAATGACCTTGATGACGGGTGAGAGTTCTCATTCTTTTCTGCCTGAGCCGCCCGAACCATGCCCCATCCTGCACATTGAGGCTTCTGGGATTAAACTCCCAGGGACATCTCTGGCTTTTTTTTTTTTTTTTTTAGTATTAGCCTTTTATTTTGAAAATAATTTAAATTTGAAGAAAAGTTACAAGCATAGAACAGTGAACTCCCTTCACCTTTCACCTAGATTTACCAGTTGTGAGCATTTTGCCTGTGCTTATTTCTTTCTCATGTGTTACTGTCATTATTATTATTGCTGAGTCATTTGAGAGTAAGTTGCAGACTACCATCTCTCTTTACCCCTTACTTGCTTCATTGCATATTTCCTAAGATCAAGGACATTCTCCATATAAGGAGTTGGCAAACTGTGGCTCCTGGCTAAATTCAGCCCTTAGCCTATTTTTATACAGTTCTTGAGCTAAAAACGGTTTTACAGTTTTAAATGGTTGTAAAGAATAAAAATAAAACAACAAAAAATATGTGACAGAGACTGTATGTGGCCCTCTATGCTTAAAATATTTACTGTCTGGTCTTGTTACAGAAAAAGTTTGCCAACCCCTGTTCTATGAAACTGCAGTACAATCCTCAAATTCAGGAAATTCAACATTGAGAAAATACTCTGATCATACTCCTACTCAATCCAACTACAGATTTTGCTAGTTGAACTTCATAGTACTGTCAACGAAAAACCAGAGCCTGACAGTATAAAGCAGCAAAGCCAGATTTTACTCAGGAACTGTTGCAATAGGGGAAAGAGACCTCAGTATTGAACTGGGCTCAATTTCAGATACAACAAGGAAAAGTGGGGATTTATAGCCAAGGAGCCTGGGGTTGGGGGTGGGGCAGTGTTGGTGGATGGAAAATTACTAAGAGGAAACATCAGTCGTGAGTGGGGGATCTGGCTAAACCGACTCCAGGATTCTTGTTGAAGGCAGACCAGGGTGATCAGACATCACCTGGGGGATAGTGGTGGATGAGGAATTTGGTCAGATATCAAGGATGATCAGATATCAAGGGTGGGACTTCTGGCTCAACTGATTTAGCAGGATTCTTGCTAAAACTGGGTTCTTGGAGGACATGCTGAAGGATGGGGCCTTGCTGGGCTTGGAGGAGCCTGACTAAAGTTTGGTCAAGGAGAGAATCTTTGTCAGGATGTCGTGGTAAGTTTTCCCTCTGATCTAGAATTTGGTCCGTGATCCTGCATTACATTTAATTGTCAGTTCTCTTTAGTCTTCTTAAATGTGAATCAATTCCTCAACTTTTCTCTGTCTTTCATGATATTGACACTTTTAAGGAGACCAGTTGTTTTATAGACTGTCCCTCAATTTGAGTTTGTTTGATTGAATCTAATCTGAAAGAAATGGATTATGCATTTTTATAGGAATTCATCTTTAGCCTTTTGAGAAGGGAGCCACACACTGCTAAAATTTGCATATGTTGTCACTTAAAATATTGCTGAGTTCTGTAATTAATACTGTCTTGCCTGGAAGTTTTAGCTGACAGATTTTTATAAGAAGTCAAGGAAATGAATGTGTAAATGAATTTGTAACCTGTCCTGAATGTGAGCCATAAAAACAGATGGCCAGATTTTGTACACTGAAGCTTAAATTTGCCTGATTTTTTTTTTATGGCCATTTAAAATATTTCACTTACAGTACATGAAAATGATGATGTGATCCAATGGTTTGAAGTATTCCTGTAATTTTGAGAATATTCATTTTCTTTTTTTAGAAGCATTTTTACTATCAGTAACGTTTAAACTTAAGAGTACTGGTATTACAGCAAATACAAAATAAAAAATTACTTTTCATAGGCCTATGTTATGAAAATATTTTAATCTGTTCTGGGTAATGGTACAGATTAATTCTCCTAAATATTTTTGATCACATTATTCTCTTATTTAAAGCATATTGTGCTGTTAAATGTTAAGAGTCATGTCTCTGGAAGATTGAATGGCAGGTAATATTTATTTTTAAATTTTTCTCTAGAATCAAAATTCTTTACAAAAATTTCAGGGAAGAAAACCTCAGTATTATTTTTAAAGGTTTCCATTAATATCCATTGCCTGTAATGTGATTTTGTGTGTGTATTAGGAGAGAGAAAAAAGGATAGTGGGGAGGGGTGGGACACAGAGAGAGGAACAGAGACAGACTGGCCAAACAAATGGTATACTGAATATTGAGATGTTCATCAGGATCTCTGGGTGGAAGGGAGAATAGATTGAAAAAGCATGTTTAATACACTTAAAAATGTATATAAACTACAGGAAATAAACCTTGATAAAAAATATTTTGATATCTGTGCTAAATTAAAAAAGCACTAGAAAGCATTAAGGGATATGAATTGAAGAAAGTTGATTAACACAGCCTTATAATATTAATTCTAGCTACTTTTAATTTGATCTAGTTCAAGTTTACTATTCTAGCCACCACGCCCTAAATCAAAGGTGGCAAACTAGCAGCACATGGGTTAAATACCGCAGTCAGGCTGTTTGGCTGGGGCAGTGGTGGTCCATGTGGTAGCATTTTTTCTTTTTTAATTGCCTACATATAAAAATGAGAAGCTTGCGCATAAAAATCTCAATTTTTGGCTTCTTTTGAAAATTGAGAAGATCTGACAACATTGGGCCCGGTATCACTTGGCAGCAGTGGCTGAGACTGTCAATAGTCTTGCTTAGACGAAGGCTGCATTTTCAAGTTCTCTACAGTTCCTACCACTTTCTGTGACCCCCTGAACTAAGGCTCAGTATCATTTGTTGTTTGTCATTGTGCTTGCACTATTGTTTTTATCTTATAACAGAGTTAATTGAACATTTAATATTTCTTCAACTCATGTTTGTATTAAAAGTAGGAAATGGTGGGCTGGCCCGGTGGTGTAGTGCGTAAGTTTGCGTGCTTTGCTTCGGTGACTTGGGTTTCGTGGGTTGGATCCCAGGCGTGGACTTACCACTTGTCCAAGCTGTGCCGTGGCAGCGTCCCACGTACAAAATAGAGGAAGATTGGCACAGATGTTAGCTCAGGGCCAATCTTCTTCACACACACACACACAAAAGAGTAGGAAATGGAAAGCTAGAATGAGCGAGAATGTGTGTTTTAAGAAAAATGGAAGAGAACACTTTTTTTGAAATGAAGATTATTCCCATGTGTTTAGTGGCAAACAGTATGTTTCTAAACAAATCCACCTGCTTCACTCCTTTATGTTATTTGACTGTCCTTGGGAGGCATTAGTTCATGAGTTTATGTGAATTCTTCTTTTAAATTATTTTTGGAGCATTTCCTTTGTGCCAGGCATTGTTCTAAAAGCTTTACATATGTTAAGTCATGTAACTCACACAGTCAGAGTGGAAAGTTTGTTCCATCATTTTGTCTCCATTTTTAAGGGAAACTGGAGCATAATGAGGTTATATAGTTTGTTCAAAGTCACAAAACCAGTAAGTGCAGAGCCAAGATCAGAAACCAGCAGTCTGGGTTCAGGATCTCTGCTCTTAAGTGTAATGTTATAGCTAAACTTGTTTGCTCCCTTTCCTCTGAGTTTATACTGTGCCTTCTAGCCTTCACACTTTTGGCAACTCTTAATGCAGTAAATTTCCTTTTCCTTTCCATTTGCTTTGTTTTTAAGATACAGCTCAACTTTTACTTCCTTTATAATAAATTCATAAATTTTTCTGACTACATTAGCCTCAAATAATTTCTCCCTTAACTCCTAATAACTGTATTGTCTCCTGCTATCTTGTGATGTCTTTTCCATTGTGTTGAACTATTATTTAAATCTATAAAAATATTTTTATCTTTTTATTTAATGTTTTCCCGACTAGATTATAATTTGAGTGCAGGGGGAAAAAAAGATGTTCAGAGATGTTTAAGGAATTCATTGTTCTTGACGGATGTATTACCTATTCCTAAAAATCTGAGATTGATGCCAAAAGCAGTTAAGTACAGCTTGACCTGTGCCTAAAATTTAACTCTAGGCAAGTGAAGTAACTGCCTTGAAAGAGCCGTAATAGAGAACTGCTTATTCCCAAGAGAGAAATTTGTTTGCTACTAAGAGTTTCAAGAGACTCATTGTTCTAAAATATCTTGACTTTGTTCGACACCACAGTTTTAATCGTTTTCAGCTATCAGAGTAACAATCATATAAATTCAGGCAATGATTGCTTAATTGCCTTTAGCACAAGCTCTTTGAAAAGAGCCATTCTCGCAACTTATTTTATGAGACTGGCATTACCCTGACACCAAAACACGTCAAGGACATTACAACAAAAGAAAATTACAGACCAGTATCTCGCAGAGATGAAAAAAACTCCTTAAGAAAATATTAGAAAATCCAATCCTACAGTATATAAAAAAGAGAATACGTGATGGTTGAGTGGAGTTTATCCCAGGATTGCAAGAATGGTTTAACATTTGGAAACCAAAGAATGTAATTCACCACATTAAAAGAATAAAGGAGAAAAAAATATATATAATCATCTTTGATGCAGAAAATGTATTTGACAGACTTCAGCATCCATTCATGATAAAAACTAAAAATTGGGAAACTAGGACAAGAAGGAAACTTCTTCAGTCTGGTAAAGGACATCTATGAAAAATACACAGATAACATCCTACTTACTGGTGGAATATTGAATGCTTTTTCCTAAGATGTTGAACAAAGCAGGGGTGTCTGCTCTCATCTCTTCTATTTAATATTATATTGGATGTCTTAGCCAGTATAATAAGTCAAGAAAAGAAATAAAAATCACACAGTTTTGAAAAGAAGAAATCAAACTCAATATTTGTAAATTACATGATTGTGGCTATGGAAAATCCTGGGGAATTTATGAACAAGTACTAGAACTAATAATTGAATATAGCAAAGTTGTAGCATACAAGGTCAATATTCAAAAATTAATTTTTGGCAAATGAAATAAAATGCTTTTTAAAATAGCGTCAAGACCTGTAAAATACTTCTTTTCAGTACTCTGAATTAATTAGTTAATTATGGTGTGGTTTAAAAAGCTATCAACCTGGGAATTCGGATTTATTTTTTTTAATTGAAGTATAATTGACATATCATATTAGTTTCAGGTGTACAACATAGTGATTCTATATATGTTTATTTTGCAAAGTGATCGTCACAGTAAGTCTGGTTAACAACCATCATCACACATAGTTACAAATGTTTTTTTCTTGTGATGAGAACTTTTAAGGTTTACTCTCTTAGCAACTTTCAAATATACAATTCAGTATTATTAACTATAGTCACCATGCTGTCCATTACATCCCTAGGACTTATTTATTTTATAACTGAAAGTTTGTACCTTTTGACCACCTTCACCCATTTTGCCTCCCCCACTGCCCACTCATTCCCCATGTCTGGCTACCACCAACCTGTTCTATCTATAAGTTCAAGCTTTTTTTGTTTGTTTTTTTGTTTTTTAGATTCCACATATAAGTGAGATCATATGGTATTTATCTTTCTCTGTCTGACTTTTTCTCTTAGCATAATGCCCTCAGGGTACATTTTGCATGTTTTTGCAAATGACAGGATTTCTTTCTTTTTTATGGCTGAATAATATTCTAGTGTGTGTACACACACATACACACACACACACCCCCCCCCCACATTTTCTCTATCCATTCATCCTTTGATAGGTACTTAAGTTGTTTCCATATATTGGCTATTGTAAATAATGCTGCTGTGAACATGGGGTGCAGATATCTTTTCGAGTTAGTGTTTTTATTTCCTTTGGATAAATACCCAGAAGTGGAATTTCTGGATGATAGGTAGTTCTATTTTTAATTTTTTGAGGAATCTCTATAGTATTTTCCATAGTAGCTGCACCAATTTACTTTCCTATCAGTAGTGCACGCGGGTTCTCTTATCTCCACATCCTCACCAACACTTGTTATTTCTTTTTGATAATAGCCATTCTAACAGGTGTGAAGTGATACCTCATTGTGGTTTTGATTTGCATTTCCCTCATGATAGTGATATTGAGCACCTTTTCATGTATCTGTTGGCCATCTATCTCTGTGTCTTCTTTGGAAAAATGTCTGCTCAGATCCTCTGCCGATTTTTTAATTGGACTCTTTGAATTTACTATTGAGTTATATGAGTTCTTTATGTATTTTGGATCTTAACTTCTTATCAGATATATGGTTTGCAAATATTTTCTCCCATTAAGTAGGTTGCCTTTTCATTTTGTTGATGGTTTCCTTTGTTGTGTAGAAGTTTTTTAGTGTGATGTGGTCCCATTTGTTTATTTTTGCTTTTGTTGCCTTTGGGGAATTCTAATTCTAACAACAGATTGAGTGAAACAGTATAACAATGACAAAATGAAAATTAAGAATTGAATTACATTACATTTTTTCATTATAGGATCAAATTCATTTTAATTATATGGTTGACTTTCATCTTTTCTAGATGTGTAGAAAAAACTTATCTGGCTTTTAATAAAGAGATATCAACAACTTAAATATAAAATTATGCTTTTTTATAATTTACTGAAATCTTTCAGGCTTAGCACATCTCTGTGAATATGAAATCCTCTTCTTTAGAGAGAAGCTCTTGCTAGAGTAAATCAAGCAGAAAACTTGGCCTCAGAAGATTTAAGTCTTAGGAATAAATTTAACAAGAGATATACAACACATATTCACTGAAAATCATGAAATATTGCTAAGAGAAATTAAAGATGACCAAAATAAATGAAGAGATAGAGATGCCATGATCATGGAGGAAACAGTATTATTAGGATATCAGTTATCCTCAAATTGATCTATGGATTCACTGTAATTCCAAGCAGAATCTTAAAAGATTTGTTTTTAGAAATTGATATGCAGATTCCATGATTTATGAGAAAATATGAAAGATCTAGAATAATCAAAACAATCTTGAAACAAAAGAACAGTGTTAGAGAATTTATTCTGCCTGATTTTTAAGACTTAAAAGTTACATAATCAAAAAAGTGTAGTATTGGCATACAGATAGACAAATAGACAAGTGGGACAGAATATATCCACACATATGAGGTCAGCTGATTTTTGACAAAGATACTTCAATGTGGAATTCAATGTGGAAAGGAAGTTTTTCAACAGATGGTGATGGAAAATTGGATATCCATGTAGAAATAAAATTAACCTTGATCTACCTCACACCATTCACAAAAATTAATATGAGATAGATCATAGATTTAAATGTAAAAGCAAAAACTATAAGACGTCTGTAAGAAAATACAAGAGGATATTTTTGCAACCTTGGTGTAGGCAGTTTTTATAGAAAGACTTCAGAACACAGTATACGAGGGAAAAAAGACAAATTAACTTGATCAAAATTAAAAACTTCTGCTCATCAAAAGATACCATTAAGAAAATGAAAAGACAAGCCACACGTAGGGAGAAAATATCCACAATGCATACATATATCTAACAAAGGATTAGGCAAAAGCTTTGAACAGATCCTTCACCAAGAAAAGGATCTATGAATGACTAATAAGCACATGAAAAAATGTACAACATCGTTAGTCATCAGAGAAATGCAAATTAAAACCACAATTTCATACCACTTTCCACTCACTAAAGTGGCTAAAATTAAAAACTTTGACAATACCAAGTGTTGGTGAGAATGCCATGCAGCCTGGAACTCCCAATATACTGTGGTGGGAGTGTAAAATTGTGTACTCACCTTGGAAAACTGGTTATTTCTTACCCTATGACCCACCAATTTCACTCCTGGGTATTTATCCAAGAGTAATAAATATATATATATATCTAAAAAAGATATGTATAAAAATGTTCACAGAAGCCTTATTTGTAGTAGTCCCAAAGTGGGAACACCAAAATGTCTATCAACAGGAGATTTTGAGTAAATAAATTATGGTATGTTCATACAATGAAATATTACTCAGTGATAAAAGGGCAGTGAACTACATGGATGAATCTGAAAACCATTATGTTTAATGGATAAAGCCTGATACAAAATAGTGCTAACAGTATATGAAGTTCAAAAACAGGCAAAACCATACTGATAGAAATCAAAACAGTGGTTGCTTCAAGGTGGGTAAAGATTGACTGGAAGGGAGCACGGGGGAATTTCCTTGGTTGATGTAAATGTTCTATATCTTGTTTGAGGTGGTGGTTACGTGGGTGTATACATTTGTCAGAACTCATTGAATTGTACGCTTAAGATCTGTGCATTTTCATTCTGCTTCAGTGGCCTGGGGTTCTCCAGTTTGGATCCTGGGTGCGGACCTACGCACTGCTTATAAAGCCATGCTGTGGTAGGCGTCCCACATATAAAGTAGAGGAAGATGGGCACGGGTGTTAGCTCAGGGCCAGTCTTCCTCAGAACAAAGAGGAGGCTTGGTGGCAGATGTTAGCTCAGGGCTAATCTTCTTCTTCTATTGTTTTCTAATGTTGATGTCCTTGCTGCTCAACTAGATTTTACTAATTGAAAAAGTTGTATTAGAAACTCCAATTATAATTATGTATTTGTCTATTTCTCCTGTTAGATTTTTTCACTTTTTGCTCTATACATTTTGAGGCTGTGTTATTATTCAGGTCCATACAAATATATATAGAGTTTTTCCATCTTTCTGTTGGATTGACTCTGTTATCATTATGAAATTTTATGAATTTTTATCTCTAGTAATAATTATTGCCTTAAAGTCAGCTTTGTCTGATTAGTATTACCTATACCACTTTTCCTTTGGTTTTGCTTGGTATATGCAAAATACTTGTTTTTTGTATATCTTTTTTTCCTATCTTTTTATTTTCAATCATTTTCCATTCTTATATTTAAGGTGTGTTTCTTGTAATCAACATGTGGTTGGATTTTATTATTTTATCCCATCTAACAATCTTTGTTCTTTAATGGGATTTTCTTTAGTCCTTTTACATTTAACATAATTAATGATATTGGATTTAATTTTAAATGTAATCTATTTGTTTCTTCTTTGCCCCATCTGTTCCTTGTTGGATTTTTTTCTCCTTTTTGGAATTGGTATTAATTAAATATTTGTTATTATTCAACTTTTCTCCCTTGAATAATTTGTTAGTTGTACATTCTTTTAATATGATTACCCTGAAGATAACTTCCTTAAAGGCAGACACTTCTATTTCTTTGTTTTTCTGCAATGCACAATAATTCAGAGAATCCAATAGATGTTTGCAATAAATTCTTCTAGATTTGTTTTATTCCATTAATATTTTTAAATAACTTGAAATATTTTTATGAATACAGTGTTAAATAAATTATTTTGACTGTTGTTTTTAGAATCACACCCAGAAAATTTGATACTGTCCAAGCATCCAAGAGTCACAAAAGTGGAATTATCACCAGTGATGTTGGAGACTTAACTTTAAGCAAGAGGGGAATACGGACTTCATTTACATTTAGGAAAGTGAGGCAAACACCTTGTAACTGTAGTAAGTATACGATTTTGTTTTTACCATAAAATGGAGTAAGTCTGGTATGAAAATCTATTAAAGTTCCATCGAACCAAGGAGAGCTTTGTCTTAACTTCTCTAATGGCATTTGCAATATTCTGCCTTATGTTGTACTTACATATAATTTTCTTAACCACGCCCATTAGAGTTCACATTTCTTGAAGTACCACATCTTGTTCATCTTTGTTTTCCCCAAACATAGTACTTGAGTGTAGTTGAATGCCAAATAAATATTTTATTTATTAAAGTCACAGTTGAATGTTACTGTTATAGGATATTAAAATATTCCTTGTACAAAAATAGGTTTTTTTGGGAACAGCTTATCAGGTTTCTAAATTATTTCTCATTAACCCAACAGGGAAGTTGGAGGTGATGAGTTGTTCTATAGTAAGTAGATAACTCTAGGGAGATAAACAGTGGTTTATGTTTTAGCCAATTGGGAAACCTAGAAAGGAATAAAAGAAGTGCTCAAAAACTTGTCAAGAGGATGCTATTTTGAATTATCTGTACAAGTACATCATGACCTGTATATCTTGGATTCAGTGAATAAAATCCTTTCTATTTTATAAATAATATTTTATAATGATAGTGATAGTAAGTTCCCTTTTGTATCCTGGGGCTTTCAATTATGGGCAATATCCAGCAGTAGTTTTTGGATTTAGTCATAATCTTAAAAACATGTAAAATTAAAAACTCTTATTATATCTGCACGATGTTATCCTGATAGAAAACTTGAAATCTCTACATTTGGTATCTTGATTTTAGTGAAACTTAAAACAAGTTTTTGCTTCTTTTGCTAAAAGTGTTATTGAGGCCTTAAAACATTTAGTTTTCTTGATCAATTAAAAATGTTTATTTAGTGTTTGAAAAGTGTTTAACACTGCCAGTGGCTTTATAAGGTATAGAAAAATAAAGCATGGCTTCTGTTCTCAAGGAATTTGAAGTTGAAGAGACAAGCTCCAACTAAATGTAAGGGATGCTATAAGAATTAAATGTAATTAATATAAGGGATGCTATAAGAAGCTGATTGTGTATTCAGTGTACAGGTTTTTTTTTTTTTTAAGGTTAAGACCGTCTTTTGGATACTTTTTGTCAAATTTTGTGGGTTTTTAAGTGATAGGAGTTGCTCCTCCCTTTAGAAAACTTAGATGTTCGTAATTTCCAAGAGAATAAAATTTTACTAAAACCAGTTTAGGATAATTATACTATATATTGTAATGTAATCATAATTCTGTAATCATAATGTAATCATAATTCACGATGTAACCCATCTATTTTCACGTGTATGTTTTACCCCAAAGCTTGAGAAAGCTTGAGGCTTCAAGCTTTCTGGGGCTACCCTTTTCTTAAATGTCCACTTAAAATGTTTGGTGCTTTACTTCATACGTTAGTAGGGGCTACATATTCCTAGTCCCATTCAGCTTTCTCAAGAAAGCTGGCATTCTTTAGGTATAGATATATGGAAAATTCCTGAAACTATCAATGCTGTGGCCCAATTCTTTGCTGCCACATGATTTCTAATTATTGCTTTAGTCTTGTCTGTGGCATCTCGGGAAACACTACTCCTTCCTTTATTCTCTAGAATACTATCCGTAAAAAGATGTTGTGTGTCACAGACTTTGGCTGAAGACAAAGGGAAATTATAGCATAGCAGAGAACAAGCAAGGATTTAAAATGGCCACTAGACATTACTGCAGAAAACAGGGAACAACTTCAAAATTAATTTGAGACATTCTATTCTAAATTTCCTCTGTCATCTCCCTACTTGGTGGTGGTCTCCCGTTCCTCATTCTGTTGAAGGAGGCAACACAGTGTAGTCATTGAGAATGTGGGCTTTAGAGTCTCCACTGCCTGGGTTCAAATCCTGGCTCTATGACTCACTGTCTTTGTCACTTTGAGATCATTATTTAACGTCTGTGCTTCAGTTTCCTCTTCTGTAAAATGGGTGTAATAGTACCTATCTCATAGTGTTACTGTGAGAAGTGAGACAATGTATATAAACTGCTTCAAGTAGTGTTTGTTAAATATTTGTGATTACTACCAAGTGATACCTTGCTTCCAGATCTTGTTATTCTTCTGAGAGTTCTGGGGTCCCCAGAATTTCTATCCCCTGTACCTGTCAAGAGAAAAAACCTAAAAACTCAGCTGAATTTCTCCTAGTTAGGCCCGGCCCATCAAGATGCTTTTCTGAATAAGACCCTTTATCCCGAGATGAAATAGCCATCTTCATTAGAAGGCAGATGCAGAATTGCAGTCATATTTTGTTTTAGGTGAATTTTTCCTCCTTCTTTTTATAGTAGAGCTCTCATACATGTAATTGGACTTGGTAGGTAATAGCTATTCTTTTAACTGATAAATCAGAGCCTACTTACCCCTAGTCATCAAATTGGGATTGATTTGCTTTTTGTTTTAAGAAAACTTGATACCTCATGAATCATTTGGATAAAAATGCAAGGTTTATATTGCCTTCTTTTTTCCTTAGGTTACCCTTTGGTCTGTGACAGCCAGATGAAGGAGACTCCCTCATCATTTCCAGAGAGTGATAAAGAGGCCTCACAACTGGAGAGAGAATATGTCCATCAAGTTTATGAAGAGATTGCTGGGCACTTCAGCAGCACGAGACATACCCCTTGGCCACGCGTCGTGGAGTTTTTGAAAGCTTTGCCAAGTGGCTCATTAGTGGCTGATATTGGATGTGGAAATGGAAAGTATCTTGGTGTCAATAAGGAGTTATATATGGCAAGTAACTGTTGCTTCTGGCTTTGTTTTCAATGGTGGTTATCACTGTCTTTCTCATGATATAATGCTGCTTTTTTAGGTCATTGCAGAAAAGTTATAACCAACAGATTGAAAATTAATGAACACTCTCATTCTTTTTTATTCCTCTAGAATTTATGGGCATGCCATTGTTTGTAATTTTTTCTCTCCCTTTAGATTTTGCTGTCTGAGAAGATTATTTTATCAGTAAAACTACCTTATATTTATAAAACTCTTTACATAAAAAGGATTTTTATAGAAACCATTTTCTTTGCTTAGATCCTCCTAAATATAAGAAAGGTAAGGTAGATATTTTCATCCATCTTTTATAAGTGAAGAAACTGAGGCTCACAGAGGTTATGTTACTTCCCTGATAGCGTATAACTAGGGGCCATAACTGGAACTTGAACCCATGCCTCTGACTCCAAGTCTAGTGTTCTTATACTCATAGTAGGAAAATGTAGGTTACTGTTTATTGGTGTCTTACTGTTGAGGAAACTCAGACTCAAATAGATTAAAAACTTTGACTAAGGGTACAGTGCTAGACCCAGGATTTAAACCCACTTCTGTCCAATACCAAAGTTTCTATTTCTTGTTGCTATAATTCTCTTTTTTATGCGCCACTTTTTTTTCTGCTGTCCTAGGAAGTCGGAAGTTCTCCCTGTGCTAGTACATTGTTCTAAATACTCATATCAACTCTCCTCTGTGAGGACTGGAGCTCCCCTTTCTCAAGGTTAGGGCAGGAAGGACTAGAGTAAGGGAGGGAGAGAGAATGAGAGCAGTCTATGTGTATGGGCTATTGTAGTATGTCAGGTTGCTTATAATCTATTTTTTGGCTCATCCTAGACGTTGTGCACCTACATGAAGAAAGTTGCCACTGCAGTTGAGGAAAGGTAGAGTTCATGCATTTAGATAAAAGAATAGCTTTTCATCAAGATAAGACATTAGTATTCATATATTGTCATCATGTTTACAATTAAATTTTAGTTTATAAAGAATAAAGTCTAGTGAGTTAAATTTGTTCATGTTAAAAAGGAAGAAACTTTTTGATGTGCCACTTAAAATCACAGTTCTAACCATTGTTCAAAACAATGTGATAGCTTCTGGGGTTTTAAGGTACTGTACAAAAATGTCCTCAGTAAGCTCTGCTTTTGCACTTTCTTGATAATAACCCATGTCTTTATCTAGTTAGGTATCATTTGTGACAGTGAAACTAGGTTGAAGTCAACTTCACTGACTTAGTCATAATGATAATATTTTCCTATTACAATTGAGAAAAATGATTGCTTGATGAACAGGTAATTGAACCAAAAATCTGAAGAAAGCTGATTCAGGAAGGAATATATTTAGGATTGGAAAGTCGCAAGCACGCTCCCTGTTCTTTATCCGCATTCGTTTTCTCAGCGCCAGTGTGCGTGTCGCCCTTCCTGTCTGTCCTTCCCAGAGCCTCCTGCGTTGTCTGACCTCTAGGGAAGGCTTGGTAAGTGTTGGTTCGACGAATGAATGAAAACTGCTTGTCTGGTTGGAGTTCTGGTTTTCATTATTCCAAAAATGGAATTATGTATTAAAAAAGGGAAGCTTGCTTTTTGAAGCTGCTGAGGCTCCAACCTGGATAGAGAAAGGATTCTTGAGTGTATTTTGAGCAGCCATCTTTAAGCATGAAAATCTGTGCATTTCTTGACCTTCATGAGGGGATGTGACCTGAGACGTTCATTCTGGGTATTCAAATGTAAGATAGTCTCAGAATCTAAAAAATTATTAATATCACTTTACATATGATTTTCTTAACAAAATGCATGTTTTAAATACAAGCTTGGGCTCTTATGGAAATAGTTTTATGAACTACTTTTCATTCCTGTAAGAAGTGTATGTAGGGAACCTGTTCTTATCTGATCTGGACTATGCCTGAGCTTGCTCTTCTCTTTAATTCACAGTTCCTGCATCCTGGCTAAGAACCGTTTCTTTTTCAGACTTCTTCAATTACTCTTCATTTCTATCAGCTAGCTGCTGGCTTTATTTTCAGAGTTAAATTTTATAAGCAAAGATTTTAGACCTTCAAGAGACTTACTGCTTTTATAGATAATACCAATAATAGATGAGATGTACGTCCCAAGAGCTTGGCCTGGCTCATTCTCTGAGTGATTTTTCTGTGCATTGATCTCAGAGCACGTTCAGTCCAAATGTGTTTCTTAGATAAATAATTACTTACTACATGGTATGGACTTTCTTGGTAACTGTAAGTAGTTGAGATTGCATATAATAATAATGTCAGGAGTCTGTAAGACTTGAAGATCTGTCAATGTAGGCGTCTTTTGTACATTTCTGTTTTTGTTTGTCTTTTAACTGTTGACTACCCCAGTAAAGGAAAGGACAGAAAGGGAACTAATAAAGTCAAGCTCCTGCTGTGTGCTAAGTGCTGTGCTGTGTTTTCTCACATACATAGTGTGAGACTGATGCTACTCTCTCCCTTTACAGTTCGGAAAACTGACGCTCAGTCGGGTTATGACATGCCAAAGGTTAAATGGTGTCAGGGCAAATATTAGAGCCTCATCTCCAACTCCAGAGTCCATACTCTATGGCGCTCTGCTCACAAAGGCCTTAAAGGCCAGCTGTGGTGACAGAGAGCACAAGGCTGTAAAGTCAGACATGGCAGGAATCATGTCTGGTTTTTTGTCCACTTACTTGGCATGTAATAGAAGCTTATTAATTTTGTTTGTTTATTGAATGGTGAGGAGCAAATGTATGAATTCACTTTCAATTTCTTACATGAAAACCAGAATATATATAGCACTTGGTTCTGCAGCCTTGAAAGAAATGTGACAACCTCAAAATGGGTGGGCCTTAACTCAGATTAAGATACCTTTAGGATACGTGGATTTCTCTTTGTATCTAGAATCCAAGACGAGAGTTTTTTTCCACCCCTTCTTCCATATGGTGCTAATAATTAACATTTGCATAGCACTTTTATGGTTAGTGAAATATTTAATATACATTATTTCATTGATTTCCATATTAACCCTGAGAAGTCGGTATTTTCATGAGTAAACAGAGCCTCTGAGATGTTAAGTAGCATTCCTAGGTTGTTCAGCTAGTTATTGCTGAAGCCAGAATTCAAATCGAGAGTTTAATATGCTCTTTTCACTGTACTTTACTGCCTTTGCCTTTCTCTGCACTTTAAACTGTAGATTGCCAGTCTGATTTTCCTATAATTGCATCTTTCCTTAATAGTTTTTAAAATGTTGTATTTTTTTTCTAATAGATTGGCACCTGAGCTAACAACTGTTGCCAATCTTCTTTTTGTTTTTTTTTGCCTTTTCTCCCCAAATCCCCCCAGTAGATAGTTGTATATTTTAGTTGTGGGAGCTTCTAGTTGTGGCATGTGGGACACCACCTCAACATGGCCTGATTAGCAGTGCTATGTCCGCGCCCAGGATCCGAACCTGTGAAACCCCAGCCTGCTGAAGTGGAGTGCGTGAACTTAACCACTCAGCCACAGGGCCGGCCCCTAAAATGTATATTTTTAAGAAGTAAAATAATGTGGCTACAATTCAGAAAATGGATGAAAGGAAAGGTATTCTCCTGTAATCCTAATACTGGTTTATTAAACCAGTATATTGTGGGAAATATTCTTCCAGTGTTTTTCCTATAACATTTTTATATGATGATGAATATGCATATAATTTGGTAACTCATTTCTATCCTTTAATATTTTCATTTTTATATGTAGCCTTATGTAATTCTTAAACTTTATAATATTGTAAGAGATGGTTGTTACTTTGACACTTGGTTGTGTTCAGTTTGGCACTATTATACTAACGCTGTAGTGAACATGTATGTTGAGAGACAATGTGGCAAGAAGGAAGAACATGGATGTTTGAAGTGAGAAAGACCCAGGTTTAAATCTCTGCTCCGCCAGTTAACTACTGTTCACCTCGGGGCAAATTACATATCTTCTTTGAGATGATGGTGTTCCCTTATCTGTAATATGGTGATAATAACACCTAACTCAAAGTGTGTTATAAGGGTTAAATACATTAATACGAAGAATCTGCTTTGCTACGTAGTGGGTACTCAGTAAAGGGCAATTTTATTAACCTGTTTAGCTTTTCCCATATTTTGGATTATTTTCTTAGGATAAATTTTTGGAAGAATAATTATTGGGTCAAAAGTTGTGAACATTTTTGTTTTTTTAAAAAATGGCTTGCCAAATTGCTTTTTTAAATTAGTTGAGCCAATTTATACTGTCATCAGCACTTTATGAGAGTAGATTTTATCATATTGCTATCACTGTGGTGTATTTTTCTTTTAAAATATTTTTGATACTTTAATAGGAGAAAAATGGAACCTTGTTTTAGTTTGCACCTTTGATTACTAGGTTGAATATTTTTTCATTTTTACCTGTACTTCCAGAATTGCATATTTAATGCTTTGTTGAGAATTTAAAAAATTATGTAGAAGTAAAAGTATGCATTTTAAGCCCAACCAATGTGTGTTTTTATGTCATTGATCTCCATGCAACACACAGAAATATGTAGCTTTACATGAGTCCTTTACTGGCTGTGAGTATTTATGCATAAGCTATTTTCTGTCCTGTAGTTGATATTATGCAGCATTGTTTGGGAGAATTTCAAATATGTGGTGTTATCTTTGGTATAAAAACTTAAGGGAATTTAAAAATAGAAGGGGATGAGAAAAAAATAGTGATGTTTTGACGGTAGTATATGGAAGACTCAGGCAAAATAATTGACAAATGAAGGTACTGAGCCAGGCATGAGTCAGGTCTACACGAGACCTGGCGCTTTGTGACTGCAGTTGCCCTGCTCCGTTTCGCTGCTGAAAAGGAGCGTTCTATACAAATAACCGTAAGGGCCTGGCAGGAAGAAGAGGGGAATTTTCTCTTGTTTTGTTTGGCTGCTTTTCTCCTTGTTCTGTTTTATCTGTGCTTCTCAGATAATAACTTTCCTCCTTTGAGTAACTATCAAGCTCTGTCTCTGGGGATTTGTTTTATACGCAAGTTGAATTTCTTCCTTTTTATGTTTAGCAAGATATAGCCATGTGTCAGAATCCGGCATACTTGACACTTCTGATTCCGTGAACTGAATTTTATTGTAACAACAGCTGGCGAGCACAAAAATATAATATGCATATTATTTGAGTGGTAATATCTTGATATTGTAACTCTTGGCTTAGTGGCATAAAATGTTTGTGAAAATTAAGTAATAAGCCAGTTATGTGTCTTACACACATAAAGGGAGCAATTAATTTTGAATTGTGCCACTCTTGTTATTAATGGGTCCTTAGTACTTTTCCATCTTAAAATATGTCAAAGGGAAATTGCTATACTTTACCTCTAGCTTGGCACCTTTTATTATACCTCAGAAATTAATGCAGCTCTGGGATAGAATATAGAAACTGTTTAATCCCAATTAGAAATTGAGCAAATTCATACTAAGTATGACTAGCATGGCTGTATAATTTAACTCGGTAAGAATTGTTTTGACATGAAGATTCGTATTCTTTATTCTCAGATGGACTGAGGGAACCCTGATGATCAATGCTCATTCTATCACAAATTCAAATGAGTAAATATAAGCTTGAGGTGGCTACTTCTCTTTGATGAAATCTACTTATACGTTTCTTTTCTCTATTGTAGAGATTAGGTTAAGAAGAAATATCTGAGGATAATTATTAATTAGTGATTTAACACATCTTAAATGTTAAATTTAGGATATTTAATATTTCTCCCCCTCCCATTCCACTCTTAATTTACATGTGCACATTGCTCGTGCTCTCTCTCTGTCTCTCTCCATATATATGATATTTTTAGATCTAAACAGTAAAACCGTGTACAAAAACAACAAAAACGAAACTAGAGAGAAGATGGGCAGTCCTAGCCCCCAGACTGTTCCCACAGAACCGGACACACACGTTAGGCACGTTAGGCCTCACCTGCTTGGGGAAATGAAAGGATGTTGCTTGCTGCCTTCAGTGCTGCCATTCCCATTGCATGGTTTGGCTATACTAAAAGGTTTAATTAAATAGCATTTCACAAATTTCGAATTCAGCACTTTATTCTTGATGTATATTGGTTAGGTGTTTAGCAGAACAAGACTCAATAGCTTTAAAAAATGAAATAAATTATTTCACTTTTTAATTTTTTTGGAATTTTGTTTTCTGATTGTACAAGTAATACATATTGAAGAGTATAAAGAAGCAGGAAAAAAGATCAGCCATCCTCCTGCTCTCTTGGCCAGCACAGTATGGTTTATACAGTAATGAGAGATGCCTTAGATCCTCTTATTTAGAGCTCCCCCTGAAAGAATAAACATCTATATTTATGGGATAATTTCCATTTTTAAATGTGTGATATTACAAAAAGATCTAGATTCTGAATGGTGATCGATTAGATGCCGATTAGGACCTCCCATTTCCACCACTGTCATTTTTATTCAAGTCATTTTGTTTCCATTCATTAATTTGAGTTCTGTTTGATACCTATTAAGGTAATAAATGCTGCCCTGTGAATTATATATTCCGACTTTGTACTGGTTGTAAGAACTGATAATATCGTGATCTTAAACCATTTCACAATGAATATAAAATCTGTCTAATAACTTTATGGTAAGGATTAAACCCATTGGTCTTCATTTCCCATGACATTTAAACAAGATGTTATGAAATTCTTTCACTTTCTATTATAGATTGGTTGTGATCGTAGCCAGAACCTTGTGGACATTTGTAGAGAGAGGCAGTTTGAGGCCTTTGTCTGTGATGCGCTGGCAGTACCAGTCCACAGTGGGTCTTGTGATGCCTGCATCTCTATCGCTGTTATTCACCATTTTGCCACAGCAGTAAGTATTGTCTTTCTCCCTCTCAGAACTTGTAACTAATGCGGCAGGAAGTGTTCCCGGATTTTACTGATTTGGGAGCTATTTTAGCTTTTCTTTTCTTTCCATCCTCTTTTCTTGCTGTCATTTAATTTTCCCCGTTTGTTAAGAAAGCGCGTGGAGTGGAGATGAACTGCATGGGAGCTGTGCTACTGAACAGAGGCCCGAGGGGACGGCCTGCTTTTGTTGTTGTGCGTTCCTGCCTTTTTCCTGTGCTGAGTCTTACTCATCTTTAGATGCCTTCTTCAAATCCCAGAGTCACAGAATTTTAGCTGTAAAAGACTTTAGGGGATCATCAGCTGAGGGCCTCTTGATACACTCTCTCCTCAGCCTTTGAGCCCTTTCTCTATTTCGCTTTCTCAGCTTTCTCAGTTCTCACTCTCATCCATGACGTCTGAGTCTCACTTCCTTCCTGTTCTGTTTTTCCTCTGTTCCTATTCTTTTTTCAAAACTCGACATATTTATATGTCACTGATGCTTTTAATTAGTCACATATGTTCCTAATTTTAAAATAATTGAATTTAATATTTTACATTTTCTTATAGGAAAAATAATCTTATTTTTCCTGGGTGTCAGTGGTTTCTTCCCCGATCTAAGCAATAACTTTATAGATTACCCCGTGCCGGAGTCACTGGCAGTCTCAGTAAACCTAAAGACTCTAACTGAATTCAAAACAGAACAGAATGGAAAACCTCTCTGCCTCTATTTTATTAACAGAAATAAAAACTTCCTTTCTCCTGTTTCTTCAACACTTTTTTTCCCTTTAATCAAAAACATAATTCACCTTCCCTTTTTTTTTCTTTTTTGCTTTATGTAACATATATTCTTAGATTTCTTTGGGCTGTTCATCTTAATTGAAAACAGTCCCGTAGTCAATTATATTTCCCTTATATCCTATCTGTATCTCCTCCTGGTTGATAAATGGCAATATTTTTTTTTACTAGGCGCGTAGAGTGGCAGCTATCCAAGAACTTGTTCGACTCCTGAGACCTGGTGGGAAGGCGCTCATTTATGTCTGGGCAATGGAACAAGAATATAATAATAAGAAATCCAAGTATCTCAGAGAAAACAGAGTTAGCCAAGGAAAGAAAGAGGAGATCAACAGCGATACATCAGTGCAAGAGTTGCTTGTGGAGCAAATGCCTGTTGTGGGCAACCAGGATTCAGCCTGTTCTGTCCCTTCCACTAATGATTTTCAGAAGGGAGGATGTGATTCGAGGAAAGTTACTGATTCCAAGCTGCCTGTTCACACTAACAGGACATCTTTTCATTCCCAAGACTTACTGGTTCCCTGGCACCTTAAGGGAAACCCTGGTAAAAACAAACTTGTTGAGCCATTTGGTCCGGTAGGATCCCATGACCCGAGTCCTGTGTTTCATCGTTACTACCACGTGTTCTGTGCGGGAGAACTGGAAGCTGCCTGCCAAACCTTGAGTAACGTCAGCGTTCTGCAAAGCTACTACGATCAGGGGAACTGGTGTGTGATTCTTCAAAAGGTCTGAGTATCTCTATGAACGTATCACATACAGGGAAGAAATGCTCAGCTTTTTTTTAAAAAAGAAGACTAAATTAACTGTCTTTTTAGTTAAAGAGAAAACTTGTGGAAAAGTACCAAAAGAGTGCGCCTGAGACAAATTTGGAAGTAGAGATTAGTTAGGAAATGTTCAGGCTGCTACTGTTGCTGACCTCATTTTATCCAGAAATGTAGGCTTCTCCTGTGGAGAGGAACAGCGGTGGTTTTTAAAAGTGATTGAAGTAGTTTGTGAAGTATTTGGGATCCTGGGGTAAGAGTACAGCATTTTGAAGATAAACTTTTGTTATAAAATGTTACTAAAGGAACTAAATCATGTAGAATCTTAGTGAATTGATGATATGACATTTTAATAAAGAAAATATTCCTGTTTAGCAGACTATTGTCTGAAATTTTGTCTGTGATTGTTAGCTCTGTAAAATTATAGACGATAACCACTCTATCACCACACCTTACTAGCACAGGGTTTGATTCATAGCAGGTGCTCAGTAAAATTTGAGTTAGTCAGATGATACCCATATGTTAGTAGGAGCTTCATCCAACAAATACTTATTGAAGCCCTACTGTGTACCAGTTACTATTTTAAGTACTGGGAGGGGAGCAGGGAACAAGAAAGAACAAAGCCCTTGCTCTCATGGAGCTTATATTCTAGAAGGGAAAACAGACAATAAGCAAATAAATAAATAGATACTGTGTGCCAGATAGTGATAAATGCCATGGGAAAAACATAAAACAGAAGGGAGTTTTCACTTGGGAACAAGAGATCATTTTTTCCTTCCCTTCTCCCCACAGTGCCCCAATATGTAGTTGTATACTCTAGTTGTAGGTCCTTCTGGTTGCGCTGTGTGGGACACAACCTCAGCATGGCTTAGTGAGTGGTGCCATGTCCGTGCCTAGGATCTGAACCAGTGAAACCCTGGGCCACAGAAGCAGAGCATGTGAACTCAACGACTTGGCCACAGGGCCGGCCCCCAAGAAATTATTTTTAAAGAGATGAAATAACCACTAATCCTGACTGAAGTTTATTACCAAGAGTTAATTGATATTTCTAATGCATTGATCTAGGTGCTAAAGGCAACCCAAATATGCTCTTTTAACTCCTTTATTTATTTTTTCGCTGAGGAAGATTAGCTGTGAGCTAACATCTGCTGCCAATCTTCCTCTTCTTTTGCTTGAGGAGTATTAGCCCTTAGCTAACATCTGTGCCAATCTTCTTCCACTTTATATGTTGATCGCCACCACAGCATGGATGACGAGTGGTGTAGGTCCACACCCAGAATCTGGACCTGTGAGCCTGGGCTGCTGAAGTGGAGTGTGCTGAATTTAATCGCTGTGGCATGAGGCCAGCCTCTTAACTCCTTTGTTTAAAGAGCAAAAATTAGACTTGTCGGTTAGACCTAGTTATGCCCTGATAGTCAAAGCAATGGTGTCATTATTGGGTATTTCTTGTTCATTCAGAGTTTGTTCTAGTCCAAGTGCAATCGGGTTGTTTCTTACCTACAAATATTTCATTTACCCAGTTAACTTACCACTTAGATCAAGTTTCCAGGAGGAACAAAGATAGAAGGTTAACCATAGGTAAAATTGGCATGCTGAAGGGAAAGATTAAAAAAAAACAGAAAACAAAAAACTTTACTCCCAGCATGCATTGCTTTTGTAGTAGTAGTACTTAAGACTACTTAAAGGAAAATTGATTTCTGTGAATGATGGCTCCCTAGACAATTATTACTAAATGTTAGTGATGCTTATCTTCAAGCATCAAGCTTGCAGAAACCTGCAGTGATCAATAATAGGTCTTAGATGAGATACTGATTACTTTTGTCATGGAATTTCACAACAAGATTATAATTGTTCCCTCCAGATCAATTTATAAGTTTTATGATACGGGAGGAAAGAATATAGGGCTAAAAAATAGTTTTATTTCTGATACAAATTCCCGGGCTTTACATCACAATTTGAAGTTCAACTCATGCTAATCAATTTTAAAATCTAGATGAAGTAGATGATTTTTTAGGAAGATGAAAATACCAAAATTAACTCAAGAAGAGATAGAAAATGGATGATGTTGAAAAGCGTAAGAATTCAGAACTTGGCTCTTGAATCAGATTTCCTGAAGTTGCATTCTTGATCTGCCATTTTCTTAGCTGTGGGACTTTGGGCAAATTCCTTAACTTTTCTATGCTTCGGTTTTCTTGACTGTAAAATTAGAAAGGTAGTTATGAAAATTAACTGAAACAATACTTGTAGAACTCTTAGAATATTATAAAAATATAGTGTGCATTTGGGAAATGTTTATTATTACTACTCCCAAAGAAGGCCCACAAGAGTTTTAGGTATTGAGTTATGTCAAATCTGATTTGTTAGTTGTGTAATAAAATCTCTGCTTTTACTGATTTTTTTTGTTTGCTTGTTCTCATCACTATGATTGTGAATTTCTCTGCTTTTCCTTCTAGGTCTGTTAATAATAATAGTGCAAAACTGGAAAAACTTCAAATGTCCATCAACCAAATGAGTAAATTATGGTCAGTTCATACAATATGTTGCTACACAAGCAATGAAAGAGAATAAACTATACTTACAAGCTACATTATGAATGAATCTTGGAAACAATGCTGAGTAAAAGAAGCCATACACAAAATAATAGCATATGATTTCTGCAGAGTTCAGGTGTCTTTGAGACCACCCTCACTTCTGACACCAGCTACAAAATTCAGGGATCCCCAACAACACCCTTAAGTTTTGTTGCCAACTGCAAATTCAGGGGTTCCTAAGAGCATCCTCAAGTTTGATAATTTGCTAGAAGGGCTCATAGAACTCACTGAAACTGTTACACTCATGGTCACAGTTTATTACAGCAGAACGATAGAGATTAAAATCAGCCAAGGGAACTTCGGTGCATGGTGCCAAGTCCAGGAGAGTTCCATACATGGAGCTTTCAGTTGTCCTCTCCCCGTGGAATTGTGGGAAGAGCTGACTTTTCCCAGCAACAGTGTATGACAGTACACATGGAGTGTTGCCAACCAGGGAAGCTCACCTGAGTCTTGGTGTTCAGAGTTTTTATTGGGGCTCATTCATATAGACATGGTTGGCCATCCATGTGGCTGACCTTTAGTCTCCAGCCCCTATGGAGGTCAAGTTGATACCACTTGGCATAAGGGCCCCAGGTAAACAGACACTTATCAGGTGGGACGTTCCCAGAGCTTTGAGATCACCTCCCAGGAGCCTAGGGCAAAGGCAAGAACTTGCTCTGGATAAGGTTAACTCTACTACACAATCTCTTTTAGGTGAAAGTTCAAAAACAAGCAATATCAGGTTATACTTGTACAAGGCTAGATCACAGTAAACTTTTGAAAGGAGGGAATGAGTGGGCTTTCTAGGGGGTTCACAATGTTCTCTTTCTCTGGGTGGTATTTACTCGGGTGTTTGCTTTGTGATAATTCACTGAGCTCTACACTTAGAATTTGATTACCTTTGTGTGTGTGTAGTATAAACTTCAAAATTTAAAACAATTTGTAAAAGAAAGTTCTAAAATAACACAGCTAAATGTTTTAAATATATTTTTATATCAGCTTTAATGAGATATAATTTATATATAACATTTGCCAATTTTAAGTGTGGAATTTGATGAGTTTTGATGAAAGCATGTAGTCATGTAGTCATCATCACAGTCAAGATAGAGAACATTTCCGTCACCCTAGAAAGTTCCCCCACTGCCCCTTTGCGGCCAACTCCCTCCTGTTATGGCCAAGACTGATCTTTCTAGTGCTATACTTTTGCTTTTTCTAGAATTTCATATAAATGGAATCATACACTTTTTAGACTTTTCTGTCTCTCTTGTTTCACGCAAGACAATACTTTTGAGATTCATCTATGTTCTTGCATATATCAATAGTTTGTTCTTTTTTATTGCTGTGTAGTATTCTGTTGTATAGATACATCACAATCTGTTTATCCATTCACCAGATGATAAACACTTGGGTTATTTCCAGTTTAAAACTAATAATTTTTTTAAAAAGCTGCTATGCACATTTAGAAACACATCTTTGTGTCTACATATGTTTTCATTTCTCTTGGGTAAGTACCTCAGTGTCGAATTGCTGGGTCATATGGTAAATGTATGTTTAACTTTTTAAGACAGTAACACACTGTTTTCCAAAGTGTCTGTACCAGTTTGCATTCCCATCAGTGATGCTTGATCGTTCCAGTTACTCCACATCTTTGCCAATACTTGGTATCATCAGTCTTTTTAATATTAGCCATTCTAGTGTGTGTGTAATGGTATCTTTCTATATTTTTAATTTGCATTTCCCTAAACACAAGTGATTTGGAGCATTTTTATGTATACTTATTTGCTATTTATATATATATTCACTGGTGAAGTGTTGGTTCAAATCTTTTGTTAATTTTAAAAAATAAGTTGTTTGTCTTTTTAATGTTATACAAGTTATATACATTCTAGATAAAAGTGCTTTATCGTATTTATGTTTTACAAGTATTTTCTCCCAGTCTGTGGCTTGCCTTTTTATTTTCTTAGCAATGTCTTTTGAAGAGCCAACGTTTTAAATTTTGATGAAGTCCAGTTTATCAGTTACTTTTTAATTTTATAGATTGTACTTTTTGTGTCCTAGCTAAGAAATTTTTGTCTAACCCAAATTACTAAGATTATCTAGAAGTTTTATAGTTTTAGCCGTTACCTTTAGGTCTATGATCCATTTCAAATTAATTTTTGTGTGTGATGTATTGTGAGGGTTGGCTTTTTTTTGTGTGTGTGTGAGGAAGATTGGCCCTGAGGTTGGCTCATTTTTTGCATGTGGCTATCTAGTTGTTCCAGCATCATTTTAAAAAGATTCTTTCCCAAATGAATTTCTTGACACTTTTGTGGAAAATCAATTGGCTATATATATGTGGATATATTTCTGCATAGTTTTGTTGATCTATGTGTCTGTTTTTATTCCAATACCACACTGTTTGGGTTTTTGTATCTTAATAATAAGTCTTGGAATTAGGTAGTGTAAGGTCTCCAACTTTGTTCTTTTGTGTACTTAATAACAGCTTCAAAAATACATGAAGCAAAAACTGATATAACTGCAGGGGAAGTAGACAAATCCACAATTATAGTTGGCGATTTCAATGATTGATAGGCCAAGTACATAGAACATCAGTAATGATATAGCCGACTTGAATAACACAAGTCAACCAACGAAACCTTATTGACATTTATAGAACATTCCAGCCAACAAGAGCAGAATACACATTCTCATCAAGTACATGAGGAACATTTACTGAGAATGACTGTCTTCTGGGTCATAAAACCAAGACTCAATGTATTTAAAAGGATTAAAGTCATACAAAATATGCTCTCTGGCCACAATCAAATTAA